CAATTTCCACGACGGGGGACTGAACCCCCTTCCATAAAGACTGAGGGATGAACACCTTCCTAAGACTGAGGGACTGAACACCTTCCATCAAGACTGAGGGACTGAACACCTTCCATCAAGACTGAGGGACTGAACACCTTCCATCAAGACTGAGGGACTGAACACCGCCCCCAGTACCAACAATACCACCAGTCCGATAACATTCTTCTTTGCAAATATACAGGGTCTAAAGCCAGCAACAAATAACAAAATACCTTTCATCCGTGGACTGCTTGCAGAGGCAAAGGCAATGTTCGCGGCTTTCACTGAGACCCACATAAAGGATCACTTGGACAACGAAATATGGATCCCAGGTTACAACCTATACAGATGTGACAGAGTGAACGGGCAAAAGGGGGGGGGGTTGGCCTGTACATTGCAGAGTCACTTGTTTGCACAGAACTGCTTAATGCCTCAAATGATGTAGTGGAAGTTTTAGCAGAAAAGGTCGAGAACCAAAACCTAGTCATTGTGGTAGTCTACAAGCCTCCGGATGCAACATCCCAGCAATTCCAGGAACAACTGTTAAAAATTGACCACTGTCTGGAAAATCTTCCAGCTCCTGCACCCAACATCTTGCTCCTGGGGGATTTCAACTTAAGGCACCTAAAATGGAGGAATATAGCAAATAATATTGTTGCAGTAATAACACCAGGAGGCAGCTCTGATGAAAACTCACACTCACACGAGCTTTTAAATCTCTGTACAAAATTCAATTTAAACCAGCAAATAATAGAGCCTACTAGACTGGAGAATACACTAGACCTCATCTTCACTAACAATGATGATCTGATAAGAAATGTCACCATATCAAAAACAATATACTCAGATCACAACATAATTGAGGTTCAGACATGTATGCGCGGAGCCCAGCCCGACAAAATGAGACTAGTCACGAGGGAGCATTCACCAAATTCAACTTCAATAACAAAAACATAAAGTGGGACCAAGTAAACCAAGTCCTAACCGATATAAGCTGGGAAGATACACTAAGCAACACAGACCCCAACTTATCCCTAGAACAGATTAACTCGGTGGCACTCGATGTATGCACAAGCTTATTCCTCTAAGAAAAAGGAGGAGTAGATGTAAAATAGAAAGAGACAGGCGCTCCCTTTACAGGCGACGGAAAAGAATAACAGAGCGGCTAAAAGAGGTCAATATATCTGAAATGCGTAGGGAGACACTGGTCAGAGAAATAGCAAGCATCGAACTTAAGCTAAAAGAATCCTTTAGGAGTCAGGAATCGCGGGAAGAACTAAAGCCATAAATGAAATCGAAAGGAAACCCCAAAGTATTTTTTCTCCTATGCCAAATCAAAATCGAGAACAACGTCCAGTATTGGGCCCCTACTTAAACAAGATGGGTCCTACACAGATGACAGCAAGGAAATGAGTGAGCTACTCAAGTCCCAATATGAATCAGTTTTTAGCAAGCCGCTAACCAGACTGAGAGTCGAAGATCAAAATGAATTTTTTATGAGAGAGCCACAAAATTTGATTAACACAAGCCTATCCGATGTTATCCTGGCGCCAAATGACTTCAAACAGGCGATAAATGACATGCCCATGCACTCTGCCCCAGGGCCAGACTCATGGAACTCTGTGTTCATCAAAAACTGCAAGAAGCCCCTATCACGAGCCTTTTCCATCCTATGGAGAGGGAGCATGGACACGGGGGTCGTCCCTCAGTTACTAAAAAACAACAGACATAGCCCCACTCCACAAAGGGGGCAGTAAAAGCAATAGCAAGAACTACAGACCAATAGCACTAACATCCCATATCATAAAAATCTTTGAAAGGGTCCTAAGAAGCAAGATCACCACCCATCTAGAAACCCATCAGTTACACAACCCAGGGCAACATGGGTTTAGAACAGGTCGCTCCTGTCTGTCTCAACTATTGGATCACTACGACAAGGTCCTAAATGCACTAGAAGACAAAAAGAATGCAGATGTAATATATACAGACTTTGCAAAAGCCTTCGACAAGTGTGACCATGGCGTAATAGCGCACAAAATGCGTGCTAAAGGAATAACAGGAAAAGTCGGTCGATGGATCTATAATTTCCTCACTAACAGAACACGAGAGTAGTCGTCAACAGAGTAAAGTCCGAGGCAGCTACGGTGAAAAGCTCTGTTCCACAAGGCACAGTACTCGCTCCCATCTTGTTCCTCATCCTCATATCCGACATAGACAAGGATGTCAGCCACAGCACCGTGTCTTCCTTTGCAGATGACACCCGAATCTGCATGGGCAGTGTCTTCCATTGCAGGCACTGCAAAGCTCCAGGCGGACATCAACCAAATCTTTCAGTGGGCTGCAGAAAACAATATGAAGTTCAACGATGAGAAATTTCAATTACTCTAGATATGGTAAACATGAGAAATTAAATCTTCATCAGAGTACAAAACAAATTCTGGCCACAAAATAGAGCGAAACACCAACGTCAAAGACCTGGGAGTGATTATGTCGGAGGATCTCACCTTCAAGGACCATAACATTGTATCAATCGCATCTGCTAGAAAAATGACAGGATGGATAATGAAACCTTCAAAACTAGGGAGGCCAAGCCCATGATGACACTCTTCAGGTCACTTGTTCTATCTAGGCTGGAATATTGCTGCACTCTAACAGCACCTTTCAAGGCAGGTGAAATTGCCGACCTAGAAAATGTACAGAGAACTTTCACGGCCCGCATAACGGAGATAAAACACCTCAATTACTGGGAGCGCTTGAGGTTTCTAAACCTGTATTCCCTGGAACGCAGGAGGGAGAGATACATGATTATATACACCTGGAAAATCCTAGAGGGACTAGTACCGAACTTGCACACGAAAATCACTCACTACGAAAGCAAAAGACTTGGCAAACGATGCATCATCCCCCCAATGAAAAGCAGGGGTGTCACTAGCACGTTAAGAGACCATACAATAAGTGTCAGGGGCCCGAGACTGTTCAACTGCCTCCCAGCATACATAAGGGGGATTACCAACAGACCCCTGGCAGTCTTCAAGCTGGCACTGGACAATCACCTAAAGTCAGTTCCTGATCAGCCGGGCTGTGGCTCGTACGTTGGTTTGCGTGCAGCCAGCAGCAACAGCCTGGTTGATCAGGGGCTGATCCACCAGGAGGCCTGGTCACAGACCGGGCCGCGGGGGCGTTGACCCCCGAAACTCTCTCCAGGTAAACTGAGGGACTGAACACCTTCCATCAAGACTGAGGGACTGATCACATTATCTTCCAATACCTCCAGTATGTAATCCCTGTATTCAATTCACTGAAAGATCCACTAGCGGGCGAAACATCACAATAACGATACCCAGGTGCTCCACACCTGTCTTATTCATCATCATCTTGGTACTACATACCTTTCACGATACCATAACCCTCCCCCCTTGCAGGACAGGTGCCGCCCGATACCACATACCACAAGGTCTCACACCGTTTTTATGGTCTTAACAAACAAGGAATCATCCAGGGCGACACATAACGTGTCTTATCAAACAGGTAATAATAACATTATTATAACATGCGCAAAAAGCGAATGGCAGCTAAAAGCAGTCGAATTATTATTATTATTATTATTATTATTATTATTATTAGACACTAAGAGCATACTTTAATCCATATTTTAGGGACTAGTACACCAGAATATTCTTGACTGGTGGTGTACAGGTGATATGCAGCCTTAATGACCCCCGTTGACTCGAAGGGTCATTCAGACTGCATGTCACCTGTTCACCACCAGTCAAGAATACTATAGTACTTAAAATAGGGATTAAAGTAAACTCTTAATATATATACACTGACATATCTGTACCTCTCAGTGTGTATATCCTGTGACTTTCGTGTAGTTGATAGGCTTAAAACCTACTAAACCAAGCAATCGGATTCTTCTCTCGACAAGTGAGGTACAGTTACCACAGCACCGGCTTGTGTACGTAAGTTTATTTAGGTACGCGTATACATAAATACAGTTACATGAGTTATCATACATCGCAGCATGTGTGGGTTACCTAGGATAACCCAGAAAAGTCGGACACAGTGACTTATTTCCATTGTTGTCCTTGTGATATCTTATTATTGGCTGTCTAGTCAGTGTGGGAGAGGCAGTGAGTGAGGCAGCAGTTGAGTCAGTCCAAGACCATACGTCTATACGTGTACATCGAGAGGTGTATGCCTCTCGGTGTATACACAATGAGAGGTTAGTTTAAGCCTTTCAGGGGGGCTTATAGTATTCATGACCCATGCATAGTCGATAGGCTTGAAACCACACAAGAGGTGACCCTCATGTATACGTCTCGGACGCTGTACGTGTGCGACTTGAGTTTGATCTGGTCCCTGTTTTAGGGAGTTTAGTAAATTTGGGTTTACAGTGTTTTGTTTATCCAGACTTGTGTTAGTGAACAGTGATGATAGTGCTCTAGGCTGTGGCAAAACAGTGATACAATGACCAATACTGTGAGATACCGTAACTACAGTGCCGTATCGTGAGTGATACGGAGTGTATAATGAGGGCGTACATGTATAATGCAGTTGATAATTGGTGTACAATGAAAGGTGGTTCAGCTCAGTGTAGTGACTTCGTGATGATGTCATAGTGAGGTGTAGTGATTTAGTGAGATGTAACGTAAATTATTTTGTGCAATAAGGGTTGTTACGTGTTAAGTGAAAAGTTATAGCGAACAGTGAAATGTTTGTTGATAACCTGCTGTAAGAGTATTGTAAACATCTCTCGATATTCTCGTTCGTTCACTCACGTTGTTAGTCCTTGTAAAAGTGTTATGGAAGTCTTCCATCCTTCTCACACGCAAATCACCACAGGTGTGCAACAACAGTGTGGTTGCTCAAGTTTGTCATCCATAGCATTAGGTAGGCACCACCTCAGGTGAGTAACGAGAGTATCAACACTGCCGACCTCCTGCTGACCTGGTCTCGTAACCTGGCTCAGTGAGGTCTCTTAAGATAACCTTCACCTCTCTCTGCTCCAGGAAGTGCTGATGTGTTTTTCTCAGCGTTAACTGTTGCTTACCTCCTCACCTGTGATATTTAACATGTTAATCAATGGACGTGGTTCTTGATACCAACAAAAACAGTTGGATACATAAGCAGTCATGATGACGAAGACTTAAACTGCTTAGGTATCTAGCAGGGGGTAAAAGTGACTAGCTGTCGTGGGTTCACTGACCCACGGAACTGTAATTCCACTTTTGTTTTTCCTAGGAAAAACAGCAAGCTTGAGTGGTGATATGGCAGTAAGTCTGCCACCAAGATAGCAAGCTTGAATGGTGATATGGCAGTAAATCTATCACCAGCCTGGCACCATTATGGTGACACCCGCACAATTCAACGTTCCCTGTCTACACCAGTCTTCTGGTTCTCACACATCGTGGCTAATTTTTACGATTTACTTCTCCAGGTCCCTTCATTGCGGGTCCCTTCATGCTGGTAACGGTGCTCTTGATCCAGTAAATTAGAACTATCAGCATTGAGGCCTCTCAGAGTGTATACATCCTGTGAGGGGCGCATCATCCCAAAATATGTTTCCGTCTCCCTTGAGTATACCCGGGGTATACCTGGAGAGGTTTTAGTGTCAACGCCCCCGAGGCCCGGTCTCTGAGAGGCCTGAATGACCAGGCATTACCTTGAAACCAGTTTGTCAGTGTACTGGGGGAAAGGAAGGTGGGCAGTACCGGTGTACTGGAGGAAAGGAAGGTGGGCAGTACCGGTGTACTGGAGGAAAGGAAGGTGGGCAGTACCGGTGTACTGGAGGAAAGGAAGGTGGGCAGTACCGGTGTACTGGAGGAAAGGAAGGTGGGCAGTACCGGTGTACTGGAGGAAAGGAAGGTGGGCAGTACCGGTGTACTGGAGGAAAGGAAGGTGGGCAGTACCGGTGTACTGGAGGAAAGGAAGGTGGGCAGTACCGGTGTACTGGAGGAAAGGAAGGTGGGCAGTACCGGTGTACTGGAGGAAAGGAAGGTGGGCAGTACCGGTGTACTGGAGAAAGGGAAGGTGGGGTATTAGTGAATTGTTCCATCCATGGTATTGTGGGTTGTGAATTGTTCTAGCAACTTGAGACGGCATTCCTTAGCTCTAAAACCGTAGGGGGCCCTACACAGCCCCTTGAGAGGTGGGGAGGGACGTGATTTGATCCCAGGAAGGAATGAAACAGTCAGGCAAGTTCTTGATTCCTGGTGATAGTTACTGACATATTCAACAGTACTATATTACTCTTCAGGTCACCTTATTTACCTTCGTAAGAGCCGAGTAATTCTGATTTCTTTTTATTTTTCTAGTTATTTCGTGTATTGAAATAAAATTGCTTTTATTAGCGGTATTGTTTTATTAATTTTTTATATGCTTAGAGAGATGTACGTGAGTTAGAATGTTTATGGTCGAGAAGTCATTTTTGGAGACGTGATGGTAAGGTCGTGTGGGGGGGGGGGAGAGGGTCATACGGTACCTAGGAAATGGGAGATAATCATCTTCAGACAAAGGAAGGGAAGGGCGTAGATGAAATTCCTTGGTTAAAAGGCTTCTTTACCAGCATCTAGTATCTAACCACGGAACCTGGAGTATACCTGGAGTGTGTTCTGAGGGTCAACGCCCCTGCGGCCCGGTCCATGACCAAGCTTCGCGGAAATTACGATCAACTAGCAACAAGTGTTGGTGTTGTAACAGTGTTAAGGTGTTCCGTAGCTCGGCTGGTACCGCACTTAGGTCCGCGGCTCGATTTCCGGTACGGGTGGAAACATTACGACGTTGTTTCAAATTCAAAGTTTATTCTCTATAAGGATTACAATGCTGAGTTTACAGCATCTGCTGTTCCTATTCACCTAGCAGTAAAATAGGCACTTGGGTTTAAGCCGACTGATGTGAGTCGCATCCTGGGGACAAAATACACATAATTTACTAGAAATGCTGTGCATAACATAGCAAGAGGCTTTCTATACAGTAGTATGTCATTGTTGTCAGCTAGGCCTGTACACATTGTAATAATAACATTTATTTCTACAAGTACAGAGTTGTTTCTCCCTGCAGTGTTGTACGTGTGGACGATGTTGGCGGTGTTGTGGCAGTGGACACAGGTGGAGGCTCATGGGGCGCCGCTACTGGGACCAGATATCATGAGTTTCGGCTCCTTGCCACCCATCACTCTGTGGCACGCTGCCTCCATCCCCGTGGCACCCTCCGCCCCCGTGCAGTCAGGACTACCGGCTCCCAAGGGGACTGAATTTGACGGCCCTGATCCAGGCCTAAATGCAGCCATTATCAGTAAGTCTCTGTGCACCGTAATGTGGAATTAATCAGCAAGTAGAACTAAGAATCAAGAAAGTAGTATTTCTGAGTTAACATTGTTTTCCTGGGACCCTGAGCACTGCGTGCAAGAACAAGGTAGCAAAACAGTGAGTCTGTTACTGGTGTACAATACAGACAAGATGAAGAATTAGACAAGTGTGCAACATTGGGTATTAGTCGGCTGGTGTGGGTCACATTCTGGGGACAAGATTAACCTAAGTTGCCCGAAATGCTCTGCATAACAAGGGGGCTTTCTATATAGTATGTCATTGATGTCAGCTAGGTCTACATAAATTGTATAATGTACTTGTAGAAATAGTTATTATTGTGTGGGAATAGTCTACACGAGATGGCACAATATGGACCAGTAGGAAGGCACACAGCTTACAGAATTAGCTCTTATTGGGACAAGGTTACGTTCTGATCAGAGTTGCTTCGCTACTTTATCTTGATACTGTGTTGTTCTCTCACAGCGGTGCCGACGGAGCCGTGTCCTAGTGGGTACCGGAGAGACTTCAATGAAGTCTGTCGCCTCAAGTTCGGCTACGGACCGAACCCGTTCTTCTCATTCACGCCCGAAAACTTTAAGGGCGACATTCAGTTCTACATGGGCTTTCAGGTAAGGTTTTCACAGCTTTGGAGTTTAAGACAGTGAGAGCTTCTTTCTTATTTATTTACCAGTGTCTACCAACCCTGGTTAAAAAAGTATAGGATGAATATTATTTTTTCTAATGGTCTGAAAGAGTGGCTTCGAATCCCCCGACACCTGGTGGTAGTAGCTGAGAATGTTTTTATTCTGGTGCGTGCCTCTCCTAGCTCTTCAAGGAGGTTCCTTGATGCCGATGAAAGGGCACTTCACTCAGGGAATTGGAACTACTCTCTGCCTGGACCCATCAAGGGAAGTTCCATGATGGTGGTCAGGTGCTCTTGATATAAGGAATTTCATTTATCCTCCTCTTGGCGTGGACATGATTGCCTACCATTTTCCATGCACTTTATGACCGCCTGTGGTGTTTCAAGCCGTAGATAATAGAAGCTTCATAAATCTGTCATACTCATAGCGACTTAGAAATCAAACCTATTTACAGTCGTCTGATTACTGCTTAAAATATAAATTACCAGGAAATTAATTCACCAGTAACTGATTTATTTTAGTTCTTGTAGAGCATTCGCCTATATGTGGGTTGTAAGAGACGAGTGGAAGGTTGTGAAAAAAGACTTGAGAAGGTAGGTGGGCTGCCCGATGTATAAATTACTCCAATTCAGCTTTATTTTCCTTGTGACTTAGTGATATTCAATCTAAGATATTTTTTAAAAGAACATTGTTGTTATTTTTGACTTGTTAGCGGAGAAAAGGGGTTAAATCTAGCAGATAAGATCCAATGTAAACAAATTCTAAAATTCTGTGTTAAAGTTGGTATAAAAAAACAGACAAGCTGATGAGTATTGTTGAATCTCTTCGTCTACGTGGAATGCTTCTTCAGTCAATATTTGTACAGAGGTGTGTGACGTTTAGGTATGTTTACAGAAAACCCCTTTGTATGCAGAACATTTCGGGCAAACTTAGGCCTTTCTTAAGACTAATAAGGCAATAATTGTATTAATATTGGTAGAATTACCGACAGTATGTTACGTAAAAGGACACAAATGCGACTAATGTGACATTTTATTGTGGCAACGTTTCGCTCTCCAGGAGCTTTGTCAAGCTTTGTCGGCTTGACAAAGCTCCTGGAGAGCCACAATAAGATGTCACATTAGTCGCATGTGTGGCCTTTTTACTTAACAAGGCAATAGTTGTTTATATATACGGTCTCTGAGTGGTTATGTAAATTATACTTGGCAGGCTTGTTGACCCACTCACTATCAAGGTCAATCACACGGCTTAGAAAATGGATTCCAAGCCACCTGCCACATCTTCATTCAAGACAACATTGATAGTATTTACACAGGGAATTTCTATTAGACATGAGGAGACTCTAAACATGTAGAAATAGAGGCTGGGAAATGGGAAGTAAACAGGTTCGATCCAGGGGAGGGTAGCTCTAGTACCTGTGATCAAATGATCTTCACCAGCTTCAAACCAACTTCCTCAAAGGGCAGAATACTTGTAGAATATCAAGGCCGACCAACGGGGCCACTGTGGTCCCGTAAACGAAGTGTCAAAAGCAGAAACGAGTCTGAAAAGGGCAAGCAAGTGTGATTGCATGTGGCAGACCACTGGAACGTTTCCAGGCAGGGAAGCAAGAGCTTCCAGGCAGGGAAGCAAGGGTTTTCAGACAGGAGAAGGGGTTTCCAGTGGGGCAGTGGTATGGTTCGGTCATCACTGTGGTTGGTCTTATTTGGTAAAGCCCTGAGCTGCTGTTCCTACCATGGCCCGCCAATCTTCCCAGCGGGTGTGCACGCTACCGGTCTTAGCAACTCGCTCACTGCCGCAAACCCTCGTGCTAACACTAACGAACGATGAACAAACTACGGACATATATTGTAGAACGTGCAAACTACTCTGAATATGCATATAAGTGGCTTTGGCATGCTGCTCTTACCTGTATTTTTTTTGTACCTCTGTATGTATGCTAAAATTTCTAAATTTCTAAATTGTTTGTGATTTGTGTACCAAGTGAATGGGTTACAGTAGTCTTTCGGATTCATGATGACCATTTTTCTATCATTCTTGCTTCCCAGTCTTCGTCGCCTCTCTCGACTGGATTTTTTTTTTTTATCCTTCCTTTTTCCCACCATACATGCCATGCCTCCTTCCTTGATATTATATTTGTCACATCTCTTCTTTAAGCTGCTGTAGTTATTACCACGGACCTCAAGACAACATTTTCATGTGCACTCTGGTGGTCAGCAAGCGGGAGCACATGCTTGACATGGTCATGGAAGAAACCAAATTTGCTCGTTGGGAGCGATAATGTCAGAGAATCTTACTTTCAAAGATCATAACTATGTATCTACCATATCTGCTAGGAAAATAATAGGATGGATAACGAGGATTTTCAACATTAGAGAGGCCAAGCCCATGGTGATTCTCTTCAAATCGCTTGTTCTCTCTATGCTGGAATATTGCTATACACTAATGGCCCCTTTCAAAGTAAACGAAATTGCAGACCTGGAGAATATGCAGACAGCTTTCACTGCAAGTATAAATACAATAAAGCACCTAAATTACTGGGAACGGTTTTAGTTCGTTGATCTGTACTCCTTGGAATGCAGGCGAGGAAGAGGCATGATAATATACACTTAGAAAATGCTAGAAGAACTAGCCCCAAATCTACATACGGAGATCACTCCCTCTGAAAGCAAAAGACTCGGCAGGTAATGCACCATCCCACCAATGAGAAGCGGGGGCGCCATGAACACCCTCCAGGTATACCACCACTTACACGAGTGTAGTATGAAAACAGGTGCGAAAATAGACCAGCTCCAGTCTTGACATTGCTTGTGTCGAAGTCGTGGATCCAGATGAAGTTGCAAACGTAAAGGATATCACGTTGCCTGGGTCTCCCATGGTCCGCACCAGTCCTTATATTATTCTGTCTAAATCTCTGGGGAATCTACACTTCACACTTCACTTCTTCTATAAAGAACTGTATAATTTTTCATTTACTGCTTTTGACGTTGCCTCTGCGTTGTCAGTGTCATCCTACAACAGCCGAGACCAGTGATGTTAATGTTATGCTTTCCCATTTATACTCCTTGGCATTACACACACTATTATCCCTCTTCAGTTTTGTTTATTCTGCGGAAATGTTGCCTCTGCAGTACGAGTTTGTTATAGCCCTTCTTTCCCCAAAATTAGGTACTTTGTTGGACGTGATTCCTCTAGTTATACATCCATACCTCTTATTAGTTTCATTTGCAAATTGATGGAACGTGTGATACAGATCAACATTAGTGTCCGAATCAATAATAGCTTTTAAACTAGACCGTGTTCAGGACTATTAGTTCAAGACTGTCATGCTAGCACAACACTCTTTGTTAGCTAACCATTGTTTAGCCTCGGTACTACCTGCGGGCAATTTGGTCCTCCATATATATGGATGATTTCAATATCGCTTGTGTTGGCACACATCCAGCAAATATCCACTTTTTAGAATGTAAATGGCTGTACGTCGTGTTTGGTTACATCACTTGGCTTTAAAGTTCTCAAGTATCCAACTCTCTCATACACTTCGTCATTTTCAGTTTCTTATTCTCCCTGTACGGCAGATCACCAAGTTGTTTTTAATTTCTTGGTTTCCACTTTGATTAAATAATATCACTGAAATTACTTGTAACACTCCTAAAAACTGCCTGTTTTAGCCGAGTGAATTTACTTAATTTTTTGTCGTTTTAACTTGGGGGACCAGTAGGCGAGTTCATCTTTATACGGCCTTGGTTCTGTCTAAATCTGATTATGGGATTAGGTGTATTTATCTGCCTCACTGGCTATTCTTTCCAAACTTGATGTCCATTTGGACGTATTTCTTAAAGATACCTGCTGTTCCTGTTCACCTATCAGTAAAATAGGTACCTGGGTGTTAGTGGACTGGTGTGGGTCGCATCCTGGAACAAAATTGACCTAATTTGCCCGAAATGTTCTGCATAACAAGCGGCTTTCTATAGTGTAGTATGTCATTGATATCAGCTATGGTCTGTATACCTTGTATATGTACTTGTAGAAAAAATATTATTATTATTATTATTATTATTATTATTATTATTATTATCATCATCAATATCGCGTTTGTATATTTGGTTCAAATCCATTCGAAAGCTGATATACAAGTCTCGTGTTCCTTCATTATAAGACCGTCGAGGAATATATTCAATTTTTTTTTTTTTTGTAAAGTTTACAATGTGTGGTTTACATATTATAAAATATGCAGTACAAAGATAGCACTAGCATTCCTAAGCAGTTCGGACAGACTAATTCGTTGTCTTGTATTATCTTACTCGCTTATATGATCTTAATCGTTCTGCGATCTATAGAATAATCACTGACATTAGTCAAACTAACATTCTGAATGGCCTTTTTTGTTGTACTGTACCTCTTTAATCTCCTCTTTCAGACCCTAATTGCTAATCTCTTTCCTCTCGGTATTTTCCGTTAATCCAGTTCATTCGTTTTCCATTCCGCCTTGAAAGGTAACAATATTGTCCCTCCTTCCTTTTCTAAAGTGTCTTATCTCTGACGTGGACGAATGCTCCCTCTTCCTTGAACATTTTAAGTTTCACTCGCATGGTACTGTCGTCCACATTGATGACTTTTAACTCCTCTGATGGTGTAGGATATACTGTACTTTTTCTGGATTGTGATACGTTATTTTCACGGAAGTTGTATACACTTCCTGTGGATATTATTAACATTGATTCTCGTTCCATATCTTCCTTCGTTGTAATCTTGACTCTTAAATCTGATTCGTAACTCAACGCCTTCAGTGTTGCTGGTGTCGCCTCTTCAAAAAGTATAGGGATAGTCTTATTGTTGGGTCTCCGGTCATTCTAGCGCCCATGACTATGAACTTACTCTTCTGCACATTCTGTAGGTTAGAACCTATCAGCATTCATCAGGAGGCTGTCCTTTTCAAACTTTCTAAAGGTTTGTAAGTCTTAGAGCATTCGGAATCAATGATAGCGACGTTAGTTCGGGTTAGAGAAAATTATTGCTGATCATACCACAGTCTGATTCTAGGTAGACTTGTCTCTCATTGCCTTCGCTTTTAGAAACTGTTCTTGGATATCTGCATATTGGCCACACAAGACTCTATCAAGCGGAGACGTTACTGTGAACCCTGTCAGACTTTGATGGCTTAGTTTAATATATCTATTTTTCACCCTATATCCATCCTGTGGGCGGTAGTCTAAATATTGGAGGCACATAATGAGTCCAGGGATTTGACAGCAAAGTTTTGGTAGCTAATTTACAATGGTAATGAACTATTAAGTTTATTTAGGCAGAGGTACACAAAGGCCCGGTGGTCTGGTGGCTAAAGCTCCCGCTTCACACACGGAGAGCCCGGGTTCGATTCCCGGCGGGTGGAAAAATTTCGACACGTTTCCTTACACCTGGTGTCCTGTTCACCTAGCAGCAAATAGGTACCTGGGTGTTAGTCGACTGGTGTGGGTCGCATCCTGGGGGACAAAATTAAGGACCCCAATGGAAATAAGTTAGACAGTCCTCGATGACGCACTGACTTTCTTGGGTTATCCTGGGTGGCTAACCCTCCGGGGTTAAAAATCCG